TTTTCAGACATGACGCCTGACGGCTGTTCCGAACGCAAGTCGTGCATAACAACATCAAGTTGAGCTTTGACTTTGTTGATTGCGGAGCGCTTTCGGACGTCAAAGAGAAGACAACTCCTACACAGGTTTAGAAAGCCATCAGACTCCAATGACAAGGAGGAAATTTGCAGGTGGTTCAACAAAGAATCATTGGAATTGGACTTGAGTGCACCTCTCAGTCTATCGAGAAGAAACTGTAGAAAACTGGGTTTCCCCTCAGGACAACTTGCCCTGAGGAATGTTCCGCTGACATCGCCACAGAACGCTGCGATAAAGACCAAAGACAGAGACCAAATGTCAGAACGGATGTCTAATGGACACGGGGGGTTCACGACGTCCTCGCATGTGGTTTCTCCGTTCAGCATTTTTCGAAGGATCAGAAAGATTTCCGGAGCGGAAAATAGGGGATCGAAAGTGGGAAAATCAACATCCATGCCCCACCGGGAAGCATAATAGACGCCGTAACCGCCCAACTTTGCGACACCCTGTCGATCGAAGAGAATGCTTGACGGACATATACCACCATGAACTAATTGCAGGCTTGAAAGGTATTGAAGTCCTGTCAGACACTCGGAGAACTTATCCATCAGCCATCTGAAGTCGCTGCTGTTGATGGGGGATGCGGCTAGCATCGTAAGGTCGGCGTTGTAGTGCTCAGTAACAACAAAGATGCGTTTGTGCTTGTCATACTGAGCATCAATATAGCGCACCAGGTTTGGATGACGCAGCCTGCGTAAATCAATCAGACGCGAAACGCAAGACACTGCGCAAGGCAACCGAGCTGTTTCATGGGCTGACGGTGCTTGAACAGTGGCCTCACCCGCAATAAGGCTTGTTAAACCGAGATTTACTGGGTTAGTCGCAAATTTTTGGAAAGATCTCGGAATTCCTACGTCGGCAGCGGTCATCTGGGAAAGAAAAAAACGATATTATTTCCTCATGTCCATTATGGTTGGCAAAAAAACTAATATATAAAGAGGCAATCTTTTAACGTTGGTGTGTGAAAGAGAACAACTTGAAAAGATAGACTCGACTCTGCGGATGAAAGTCACAGGTCGAACAATTTACAGAAGGCTTCTATGGCACTGGACATCGATGGACTTCAAAAATGTGGGTTTATCCCAATAAATGTCCCCTCCTTAAGGCGTCTGTCCCTTTCTTGGGTCACATTGTCTCCATGGGTGGCGTTACAACAGACACTGCTAAGACCGAACAGTTCAGAAACTGACCACAAGGCACTAGCACAACTGACCTCTGTTTCGGAATTGTAGCATTTAAGTAGTGGTTGTGCTTAGGAGACTATAATCATCAGATCGAATCCATGTTGTAGGTAAAAGGTAAGAATTGCCAGAAATAGGGCTTGGTTGGACACAGAACGCTGAGTTGCCGTCTCAGGCAGCAGTGGTTTCTGGCGAATCCAGGACGAGTAGTAACTGCGTCCCGTCGTGCCTGAGAGCGTCTGACTATACATGAGAGAGAGGGATGACAGTTGCTTTTACATGACTGTGAAGTGAGTTCAAATGGTGTATGATTGGTGTAGTGCTTTGCCGGAAGGGAATGTCTAGTATTGAGATCCCTTCTGCGTTGGCCGAGGGGTGCCATTTTCAAGTGGTCCTTGGTAAACCGCGACTAGTTGGGCACGCGTACGTGTGCGAATGGCTCAAGGACCTCCAGGTCAGCGAGTCGG